GTGTTCAGTTAACAAGAAACCTAGTATATATCCGTTGGCTTCTACGCAAAACTTATTATTGATTCCAGAAATGCAGTTCTATGCTCTCCATAAGACTGCACTGCTTGAAAGTGGCCTCTCTCATAATCGGGTCCTTTCCTGTATTTTTAAAGATGTGGGTGGGCAGTATAAAGGATATGGATGACCTTGTCTTTGGAAAGCGTTTATGGGCAGTTCATGGCAGTAGCAAATCTTCTATACAAAAATTTTTAAATCCTTTGTAATAGACTTGCCTGCGCATTTAACTCAAAATTTAAAGTTAATTGCTTTTTTTCTTTTTCAGGTCCTCTGGTTGAAAGATGATGTGCCAATTTTTAACTCAACGAAATTTCTAGATAGCTCAGGCATGGATCCAAATTCCGTATTTTTACAACATAATATCGAAATCGATAAAGATAAAGGTTCTACTTCCTATTCTTCAGGACGTTGTAAAATGTTGTGCTTCGGTAAAAAATGCTGACCGATCGCAGAGAAGCAAGATGCTACTGAAGGGGCCCCTTGTGTTAAAAGTTCAGAGTGTAACTAAGAAACAAAATATGGTGGTTGTTATTGGTGCATATTTGCAGAATGTACGGGTAGCTGTTCGGATTCGGAGTCTTGCAAGGACGGGTCACATTGTGTTGATAACCGATGTTGCCAGTGTGCATCGGAAGACTTCACACTCGTTCTGAAAAACCTCACATTCGAAGATGCTGGTCGTTATCGCTGCCAAATATCGAATCAGCCGCAGCAGCTTGAATTTCAGTTGGAAGTTCTAGGTTTGCCTTTAATCTGTTCTCGAGCGCCACGTCGAAATTGTCGGCTTGCAATAAAAAAAGTTGATTAAAGTTAGCATTCTTCGAGATACTGTTCAAAATTAACACCACCAGTTTGAAATTCAGCGCCTTTACCCCTAAATTGATCCCAACCGCCTTCCTGAAATCTACATCATGTGCAAAAAACGGTCAGTGACTAGTTACCGTGATTTTTTTAATGTATAAAACAAAAATGTTGCATTTTCAGAAAGTGGTCTGAAAGGAGGTTTCCACGAGAACATCAGCTACGACTACAGTGAGTGCTGCGCCAAAAAAGGCATTTCGCCACTTTGTAAGGCAATGTGCAAACCAAAAGACATGCACATCCATCACTTCGACCCAACAAGGTAAGGCTACGCTGATGCTCGGTGTCTTCGAATTATTTTGAGCCTCCATCCTGAACCACCGTTGACGAGGAGATGCCACCGAAAGCTTTTGTTAAGGTGTGATCAGCTGAACAGGTGGTCTGTACTACGTGGCAACGGCAGCTTTTTTTTGTTAAGACAACAATCAGCACAAATTGCTCTGACAAAAATAACTGCTGAAAAGTGCTTCACATAAGAGTGTTAAGGGAAGTTTGCAAAATAAAATATTGCTGTATCAAAGCAAGACTAGGATGCGAATTAAGTGAACCTTCAGCAAACAATTAAAACCTAGGTAGCCACGCATCAGGCTTGCCAGTGCGGTCATGCGTTTTTGTGCTAAACTTAAAGCCTAGGAGTGGCATCAGTTGAG